ACTTCAAGATAGATTAAATATATAAATCAACTATCAATTGAAATATAGATTTTGGACCAAACCCTCAGAAATATCAACCTTTTACGTCGAGGTCGAAGACAACTTCAAGAAGGTTTGGAGTATTCAAAGCTTGTGAAGGGAGTATGTTGTATTATATCAAAAAGGTGTTGTGATGTGTTAAGGCTAAGCTAAGGCTAGAACGAAAGAAAAAGGGAGAGAGAGAAAAGCTTTTAGCTTAGATAGGGAAAAAGATGATGATTGTTGGTGATCAAGCTTGTTGATGATCGAAAACGGGGTGATACGACCTCCATTTATAGGAAAAAAGAGGGTCGAAGGATTAGAAAAGATCCGAATTCGAATCAGAATAAAACTCTTGCGATAGGTAGCAGTTTTTGTGGTTTTTGTTTTTATCATAACCTTTGATCCAAAAATTGGAATAAGATAAATATTATGTTTCTGGAAATTTCTTGAATTCTACTTTCTAACCCAATTAGAATCAGATTAAAATCTTTTTTAGAATAAAATATATGGCCGAAATAGTGGAATGGTGTCAATTTTGGATAGAATTTGGTATTTTGTCCATATCTTTTTCGTTATAGCTCGGAATTAGGATTATGATATATCATTGGAAAGATAATTTCAAGGGCTATCCAAAAATATAAAATTTGTATAAAAATTATGAGGCAAAAAAAATCATATCTGAACATATTTTAATTTGAATATAACAAGGACTTTCAAAAAGAGGAGTTTTATTAAATTTCAAACTCTTTGATATTTATCTTTCAAAAAGGATAGATTGGAACTTTCTAGAAGCTTCTAGCAGTTCCTAATGAGTCATAATTGGTTTATGAATGTGATTAATGTATTGGACCCTCCACATGATCATTGGGTCTTAGGTAAGGTGGACCTAGGTTCAGTTTGGGCTTGGTTTAGTATTTTGGCCATAACTTATTCGTTTTAACTCAGATTTAGGCTTACAATATATCGTTGGAAAGCTCTTTCAAGCCCTATACAAGTAAATAATAATTGGACTAGGATTATGGACTAAAATAATCAGGTTTTGACGTTTTTATAAAGAGGACACGAAATAAATAATTTTAAAGACACGAAATGAATGATTTTGGGTTTAAAGACACGAAATAAATGATTTTAGCTTAAAACATTTAAGGAAAGGTTAGAAATGGTCAAGTCTAAAGGGAAATTCACGAGACTCTTCAACTCTTCATCTAACTTGATAATTAAAGACGTGAAAGGTACTCATCACTGGGTTTGGTTTTTGGGGAGACACAATCAAGTGTCTACAGTCGTACAACCTGTAGAGCTAGAAATGCCTTCCTTACGCATATAGAAAGTAAGCTTTATGAGGTTTAATGGAGAAGAGCTCGATTTGAAGAGCTAGTTCTACTCGATGAAAATCGGTTGGAAGCCTTGCATGCATCATGTCAATTGCTACCAAAACCGTATGGTAAGACACTTCAATAAAAAGGTCAAGACAAGAAACATCAAGGAAGGAGACTTGGTATTGAAAGCACTTAGAAAGAATGTTCTGGATCAAAGAGATAAATTTAGGCCTAATTAGTCTGGACCATACATCGTCAAAACCATCCTACCTGGAGGCGCAACTAAGTTAGCAAATAAGGACGACAATAAATTTTTCAATATGACAAATCTTGACCAACTTAAGAAGTTCTACCCATAATCTAATGAGTTATGTACTTAAGAGAGCTACTTTCGGCCTGATTCCTTAATAAGGATACGTAGGCAACCCTTCCGTAGGGTGCGGCCACTATAAATATTCAAAATCCTGCCTTTGAACGCATGAGATCAACACAGCTTCGCAAAAATCGAGTATCGCAATAAAATGGAATCCAGAGCGCCACGATAGGACCATTGTGCCGCATAAGAGTCATTGAGCCGCGATGATCCCATCGCGCTGCAACGAAATTTGTTTTCCTCCGAAACAAACTGCTATTAATTGCGACAAGTTCAGATTATTTCAAGAATTTTCCTACTTCCATACTCAGATTATTTCTGAAGTTTGCTCAAGATGTTTTCATTGCTTTAAAAAAAAATTATTGCTAATAAAGGATTTTTAAAGAAATAAAGTTAATTTATTTGAAAGCTAAAAATTGCATTAATAATTGAATTGAAATTGAAATTACATTATTGATTATTGAAAAGTTTGAAAATAGAATTAACTTAGAATTAAAATTTGTTTAATAAAATTAAAGTCAAAGCAATACTCTAAATCTAATCCTCCTTTTCCTTTCGAACCCTTTTCCAGTTCTTCTCTCCATCCTCCTCATATGATAATTCCTTGATCAAGAGTGATCCTTTAGAGGAAGAAGTTTCTCCTTTAGCAAAGACTCCAACCTTCTTCTCAACCTAAGTCTTCTTTTCCTTCTCTATAGGAGTAGCTTTCCTCTTCCCTTTCCCCTCCACAACACTCTTCTTCTTAGGCATTATAGGAGTCTTAAATTCAACTTTGGAATCTAGACGATCTTTAGGAGGAGCCTTCTTATCCCCTAAGCGGTCTTTTATGTTACTCTTCTATGCACCTTTAGAGTTTGAGTTTCGAACCTTGTTCTTGTCCTTTCGACCTCGACATGAAAGGTTGATAGTTGTGAGGGTTTGTTATTTCAGTTATTTTTTTATTTTTTTATTTTGTTTATTTAATCTTTCTTGAAGTTACTACCGTGTTTATTGTTTTAATAGCAAGAAAGCCGAGGCATCAAGGTGAATAAATCTACTATCTTTACTCTTTGGTTTTGGAGTAGAAATCATGTTTAGAATATTATCTTAATTCCTAGTACCATGTTAGGATGTTTTCTTATAATTTATAGTATCATGTTTAGGATGTTAACTAATATTTCTAATATCATGTTTCTAGTATCATGTTTAGGTTAATGCTTTGATTATGATTTTTAGTGACATGCTAGGATTTGTTATTAATCCGTTTAGTATCATGCCTAGGATCTTACTATTAACGATGTTTTGATGATGTTCTTATAATGATGATTGTTGTGTCAATTATATGTTTCTTGATTGTTCATGACTGATTGTTATCTCTTGATCATGCCCTTCTTGCAGGTTTAAAGGGAATTTGTACTTGAAATCACGCCTAATAAAATAATTATTAATTTGATTTTAGTCTTAATATGATTTTAATTCAAGTGATCGCCAATAATAGATTTGATTGTGCATCAATAACCAACTAACATAGATTAAACAGTTTTAGGGCTAACTTGATGTATGTATGTTGATTGGAAAGCGCACATGAATATCAGAAGAATTAAGTAGAGGCCAATTTAGGACGGGGTTCAATCTCTTTTTGGTTGGATCCGTACAATCATCCCCGAATATCCAGTCATGGTTTTGGACCACTATGGAGTTAGTGATCTCCGTGATCGTGAATGGGGTGTAACCTTCGCACTTGTGAACGGTTTAAAAGTTCCTAAAACTTGTTGGCGACTCTTCTATTTCTAGCTTCCTTCCCTTGGACACCACCATGCTTAAAAACGTGATCACAGTGGAGCTCAAAAGGTTGTGTTTGAAAAATTCCTTACAGTTTTTAATATTCCCTAGACAATGGAGGAGGGGCTCTATCAGATACGACGGTCCATAAAGGTCTAACCATACCAATAATTGTCAAACCTTTCAACATTCTTTGATACGAAATACTCATAAGGACGGCGATCATCACCAGAAGGATTGGTTTGAGAAATACCATACTGCCTCATCACTCTAGAAGGGTAATTAAGGTCAACTTTGATAAGCTTAGAACACGGCAGAAAGCTTGAGTATTGACTCCAATCATCTTTTCAATCTTCCACCAAGGCACAACCCACTTGATGGAGAAGTCGCGAGCTTCAAAAATTTTGCTCCACTCCCGAAATCCCATCTTTATGGAAAATCGCTTCTTTCTTCTCATAAGACAATTAGGAGTGTATTTTTCAATATTATCTGGAGGACTGATTAATCCAAGTCTTTCCATTAGCCAAATCTTCAATATTGAAAATAAATTGTTATTACATTACAAAATTAAATATTTTTTATTTCTGTAATTAAGAGCATTGATTTTCTACCTGTAATAATATTGGAGATCCTTGAATTGGTGTTTTGGGATCCTTTTTCAATTCATCTAAACTCATCATTGTCTCTCCAACAATTAAAGGCATTGGATTTCTTCCAGCGTCAATTTGCTACATAACGGATGCTAATATAGCTTGACCCGTATGGATACTACCACTAGTGAGCAAGAATTGGCTAAACATGCAAAAAGAAAAGCTCTCCTTCTATATATGTGAAAAGAATTAAACTTAGGTCTATTAAAGAAAAAAGATGCAAATTTTCTTAGATCTACTTCTTTTCCATGAACTATAGATTTCAAATCAATCTCCCTAAGATTGTAAAAACGCTCAAAATTCTTATAATAATATTCACATATTGTGGGGATTACAGCAAGGTGCAAATAGGAAAAGCCAAAAATAGCACCAAATTCTTTCGACAGGGGGCTAATTTCATCGTTTCCTAGCCTAAAACAGTGAGTGTTGGGGTCCCAATATTCTACGGCGGTACGAATAGAATCTCTATCAAAAGCTACACCCTTAATACCTAGGACCATTCATATTAAGACATTCAAGTTCTTTTCTCTCACTAGTGGTCAGAAACCGACACCACTCACAAGTGATTTCACATAAATTCTTAGACAAGATTACTAAATTAAGGAAGCTAAGAGAATATAGAAGCTAATGACTCGAATTAAGCAAAATATGATGAACTCGGGGAATTTTATGAACAAAATTGAAGTAGAAATTGAATTTTATTCGGAGACAGATTCTCCGGGTCCATCCAAAGTTGTCAGGATCGAGATCCTACTTTGGATCGCTAAAGGGGGTAGGATCGAATCGGTAGGATCGTAAGATCCTACAAATTTGAGGAAATAAGCAACCAAATTGGTTAACTGTGCCTAGTACATGTTTCTTAAGTAAAAATAATTGTTTAAAAACACACTTTTGCTCATATATGATCGTTGTTACATAATTAACATGATTTTACAAATATTTTAAAGCGTACATAGTCCAAATAGTATAAGAAAAACATAGTTCACATCATAAAAGCTAAAAACTGAATAATCAACAAACTATCATCAACTACTCTTCGTTATAACCAAAATTCATATCATTGGCATCATCGAAGCTCTCCGTTCCGGATGTTCCTGTTCTTGTTCCCGTTCCCGTTACATACCCATTAAGATCACCATCACCATCAAGGTCACAAAAGTCTGTTTCTAAATTTCTAGAGTCATCAACCTCATTTGAAGCAACACAACCAGCCATGTCGTCGTCGTCATCATCACTTTGAGATGGATCATCATTGTTTTCACCCACTATATTTGAGGCTTCTCTAGCTGCTCTTCTAGCAACTCTATCAAGGACATTCAACCATGCTCCATTTTCAGGGAGAACAGGCTCCTCAATTTCTGTAATCCATTCATCATCCGAAGACATGTCATCTAATGTAATTGGGGCTTGATACTTGGCAGCTCTTTTATGTTGTTTTTGCTTTAGTTTGAGATTGTACATAACAAATACCAAATCATTCATTTTTGTTTGGTGTAAACGATTCCGCTTCTTTGTATGCACCTACGTATAACATTGGAAAAAAGAGGAAAAATATATTATATGCCTATACCAAGCTACATTTAACTTCTTATTGTAGTTATATAAGCAAGCTTACCATCTCAAACGCACTCCAATTCCGCTCACAACCAGAGGAGCTACAAGTTATGCTTTCTGAGTAGCAAATTTTTTAAGTTCTGGGCATTCATCTCCATATGAATCCCACCAATCAGCTGTACAAGTATATATAACAACCAGGATGCAAAATATAAAACTCAGTAGTAAATCATTAACATTAAGAACTAAAAAAGGAAAAAAAAAAGTTGATGAATGAACTTGGTGACTTTTTATCTCTGGTCATCACAGTAGTAGGCAATCCAAATAAACATCGTGAATTATGAAAGGAATCAAGTTGCAAATCAATCATTACTCGTTCATCGGGGTCATGGACCATTCTTTGTAAACAAGCTTACAAGCCAATTTTGATGTCTGCATTGGGTTTGAAGTTTGTTTGAAATGAATTTGTGGGTTCAGATGGTAACCAGCAGCATGCAATGGCCTATGGAGTTGTGCCTCCCATCGCTCAACGACAATATCCAACACATGTGTATAACTAAAAAACAAAATATAACATGTAAACAAATACTACAATATTGAAATTATAAGTAAAATAAAAAGAAGAAAACAAAACTAAATCAAAATTACTTACTTTCTCTCCACATTGTTGAAATTTTCCTTGATTTGAATTTTGGCTTGCTCCATTGCTTCATATATGAATCCCATGGCTGGTTCATCTGAGTCCACCATTCTAAGCACCTTAACAAGGGAAGGGCAGCTTTCAAGCATGTTATTACTCCATGCCAAAACCCACGAGTATCCAAAACTATACGTTGAACCTTCTTTCCTTCCACAGATTTAGCAAACCTACTTGTTCTCCACTTAGAAGACGTGAACATTGCTATAAATGGTCCTTTTTGCTCATTTAGACATCGTAAAGTCAAGTAAGATGTTGCAAATCGAGTAATACCAGGCCTTATTAACTCTCTTTCTTTTGTGAACTCCTTTAGCTAAGTGTGCACCATTGTTCAAGAATATATGAAAGTGGTTATCCTCCTACCTTTTGAAATTGTTACATTATGTACTCTGATTTTCTTATCAAAATCCTCTAGCATCAAATCAATGCAATGTGCAGCACAAAGTTCAACATTAGAGTGAGTGCCAGCTATGTGATGTTTTATCCTGAAGATACCACCAGATCGCACAATACCACAATAATTACACCGCACTTTCTTAGCAGCTTTATCCACCTCAGTTCCATGTTCCCAACCCGGGTCTAATCTATTTCCAGGAGCATTTTTCCTTTTTTTTTTTGTAGAACTTGACATAGTTTAAATTGGGTTAACTTGAAATTAAGCTACTATAGTATCAAAAGTAAATCCAGAATAATCAACATTTTTATGCCATATAATTTTATATCAAATGGACATTAATTCTTATGACTTTAAAAACTCATTGTAATTACATAAACAAGCAGAGTATAAGTATAAAAAAAAAATCACAACTAAGAAGGAAGAATGCCAGAACATAACTTATTAATTCTCTGTTAATTAACATTAATCACAACAATCAACAAGCAAATAACTTTTTAAGAAAAGCAAACTAACAAAGTAACAATAATATGTCACTAAATTAAGAATATTAATCAAAAAAAAAAAGACACGAAATTAATATGGAGTATGAAAAAATGCAACTTCAGCAACATGTAATTGGGCTTATCAACATACCCACCAAATTTGCCTCAAAATTAATCGAATATACAAAAATTGAATAAGTAAAGTAAAAGTATTAAACTAAAGTACAGCAAATTACTTCACTAAATCTCATCAATCTCATGAATTTCTATTGAAAAAAAAAATCGAGAAGTAGTGAAGTAGTATTATTTACCTTGTATATAATTGATAATAGCATGCAATTTGACTACTAAAAGATAAGCTGAGAAGATCGAAGAGCATAAATCAAATTTGACTACTTGAGTTTCAATTTTGAGCTTTGATTCGAGCAAAGATCTACCAAGAGCTGCGTTTCAGACTTTCAGTGAGTGTTAGGGCTTCAAACAGAGAAAGGATAAACGTTTAATCTTTTAAGGTAATTATTTTAGGCCTTGAAATAAAGATTGTATGTTTTGGGCTCTATTTAGAGTTTTTACTTAGGACCGTATTGGGATCGCGATCCCACCGATCCCACACGATCTCACTACGATCCTGGCTTCGATCTGGATCGATTTGTAATATCCGGATCGTATGATCCTACGATCCGAATCGCGATTCTAACAACTATGGGCCCATCACGTCGAGACAGAACCATCGCGCCGCGATGGAACTTGTCATTAGCGATGAAAAAAGCACGTCCTAATTAATTCATTAATTTGATTTTGATTCGAACAAAATCACACACTCAGATGCACATAAAGTGTACATAAAATAGATAGATAAAATCCAAACAGATAGAGTCTAATGTATACATATGAACAATAGTGTTAATAAAATGTATAATGCACCATGAGCAAAGTCCAAATAGTCCAGAAAATAAAAGATAATGCAGAGAAAGCTAGGGTGTTGGAGGTCGAGGCTCTTAGAAAATGCCCATCGTATCATAGAAAAACGCAGAATGAGGAGTCAGCGCCTTAGTAGAATCACCGCACGTTGTGTTGATCACGATTGTAGGGCTAGCCAACTGAGTGAATTGCGGATCTCCCTGAAAGTCGTGCTGCTGAGCAGAGGGAGTAGGCCCAGGCTGCCGCGACGACGAGCCAACCTCATACGTTCCGCTACCAAAGTGAGACGATGGATCGACCGCAAACGCATTTGGAACCACGTGAGGGCGTACCACCGAAGTACTATAACCAGGTGGGAATATATCCGTCGATGAGGACCCATGACTAAGGCTGTCATCATCATCTCCCTTCGCCCGGCCAAGCACCTCCCGCCTGCCTAGGATCTCCGACGAGGTGCGTCGCCGCCTCGGTCCCGCCTCTCTCGAGCCCTCTGGCCTCGAACGAGTACGTGGCCGAGGACCAGGCTGTAACAAAGAAAAAGAAATGCAAGTTAGTCATCCAAACGCAAAATAGATAAACCAAAAAGAATTGTATAAAGACCTACCGACGAAACGTCCTCTGTACGTCGACATGACGCCCGGTGTCTCCACCTCCCCAGCTGATATCAACAGGCGTCGAGAGCAGCTGCCATCCGCACCATCACCTCTCGAGAGAACTACAAAAATAAGATAAAATTAAAAAATAGAATGATACATGCACGAAACTTAAGAAAGTATAAAAACTCACCCATCTCTAAGAGCGAGGGATGAATCGCTCCACCATCCACCATTCCTTCGGGGTTGGAGGGATCGTCTCTTAAATGGGAACGTGACTCCCCTGGTAGCGAATGGACATGCGCAGGGGCTCAAACACCTCAGGCTCTCTCTCCTCCTACAAGATAATCTAATTATTAGCACCGCTGGGGGCTACAAAAAAGATGAACTAAATGATGATTAATCTGCAAACCTCCTCGCAGTACAGTGGACGAGCTAGTCGAGGGAGCAACTCCTCCTCATAAGAGCGAATGGGGTAGATATGCCTCCGGAAGTCCTCACCTATAGCACCATCCATAGAATGCAGCTGGAGTCCCTCTTGACTTATTATCGAAGTAAGAGGATCCCTGGGAACCAAAGAAACATCTGAGGAGTGCAGGATAGCCACTCTCTCACCCAGGTACCAAACTACATCGTAGGTACCCCAGAAAAAACGTCTCTCGGCTGCGTACTGGAAAGCCAGCCGGAAATTGCCCAAGCCGGTCCATGGTCGATATCAAACGATAGGGCGCTAAAATAAAAGATATATGTCAAACACTCATGATAAAACCTAGATAATCGAAAAACAAGAAATGTCCTTACATCAAGGATAGCTGCCCTAACGTGCGGAAGATACACCAGCACGGCGGTCTTGCCAGCTGGCAGCCACCGAGAACCCTTTGGCCCTAGGCCTTGCCGGAGCTAGTGAAGGAATGTAGTCGTAGAGCCAGACCTGCGAAAAAATCAAGAGATCTATGAACTAATGAAAAATTGAAACTTCAGATAAGATCATAAGATTAGAGAAAAATGTACCTCTACGACCTTCCAAAGGCTATAAATGGAGATCTTCGCTTCGTAGTGTCACTAGCGGCATCCCAGCCGCAACCCCATAAGGAGGTTAGTGTAGCCAACGCTGGCCCAATTAAACGTACTGACCTGCTGAAGGTCGTGCAGCACAGGAAGATAGCGCAGCAAAGCACGGCTTCCCCTATAAGGAGAAATGGTCCCCGACAAGAGAATGAGAACAAAAATGCAAACTCGCTGCTCCAGCGTAGTAGCATCATCAACGAAAGCATTCGCCAGCAGTCGAGTACGAATCGACCTTATACTTTAGTTAATATCTCTAGCCTCAGCAGCGGCCCTATGTACAATCGGCAGAAGATCTGCAGTCTCTGGAGAAGCCAACGACAGTAGCTTATCCGCAAGACCTCGAGCCGGGCGAAACTCGAGTCCAATGATAACAGAATAGTCGACTGGGGTGATAGTCATCTCACCCCACGGGAAATGGAAGGTGTTCGTGGTGTCCTAGAAGAACTCCAAGGCACCTCGAACAATGAAGCGGCTTTCCCGGAAAGACTCGCAAAAGGGGAGTCAACCCACAGGACTCCCAAAGCACTCTCATCCCCTCGTTCCCAGCAATGTGCTGGCGGTACAAAGACAAAATGGCGTCGTTGCCCGAACCATGGCAACGCACATGCTCCTCAGTAAGACCCAGCAAAACTCGCTAGGAGGTGTGGTGAACCGGCTTAAAGCCAGGGTGTGCTCATCCCACCGAGGGAGAGACGACGCTCGGCTGGTAGAGGCGCCGTCTCCCTCTCATACAAGCTCGTCCTCTCGGTGAGGCGAGCGAGAACGTGTGAGCTAGAACCTCGACGTCGAGCCATACTATTTATTGTTGCCATAAAAATAGTAAATTAAGTGTTTTATAGTATATGAATTCGCCTAGTCGCATGATACTGTGTTCATAAAAAATAGAGTACAAAAATAAAAAATAGAGCATGATTTTAATTCACACAACAACAAATATTTTGAGAATCAAAACAATTTCTTGCAAGTTTATGAAAAATATTGCAATAAATTAAGCACAGAGAGCAAAAAAAATCATCAAGAACAATGGTAAAATGCTCGTTTCTTCACCAAATCAAACGATTCTAGTCTTAAATTGTTCACAAAGTAACATACAAACACACACAAGTAATTTCATGACAAGAATTTTGATAAAAAAATGAGCGAACAAGGAAGATACATTTTGGATTTACCGGAAAAACTTAAAGAACATGCTCAAAATTCACCCGAAGTAAAAAGAGATTGAGAAAAACTTACATAAATCGGTGTGGTTGAGTGAAAATGCAACGATTTGAGATAAATTTGAGTGAATTTGGTTGAGAAACAACCAAGAACGAGGGCTTTGAAGTTTCGCGGCGACGACGAGCAAAAACGAGCAACCAGTGAAATGAGGAAGAAGAAAGGTTTAAATCCGGAAAAATACGAATTCATTGCGACGCGACAGATCTATCGCGACGCGATGAGCTTGACGCGGCGCGATAGACCTGTCGCCACGCGATGGTTCTGATTTTCGCCTGCGTTAGCACTTGAGGGTCCCACAACTTGATTTGTTGGTCCATGTTTATCCATTTGAGCTTCTTGATGCGCATTGATTCTTTTGTGCCTCGTGATGAGAAACTAATACATATTTTATTTGATTTGATTAGTAATCGACCCGATTACAATTTTGATTGATGATTGGCCTAATGACGATCACCTTATTGATTGATTGAGTACAATTGAGAATTGATGGAGTACATTTTAGAAACATTGATAGATTAGTTATTGATCATAATCACAAAGAATTCCTGGGATGGATGATTTCTACGGAAATCAATTAAAGTTCAGTAAGACCTTGAGGAATGAGATTTTACAGTAGGTTTTCCAAGGAGAGAGAAGCTACCACTTCCAAGGAGTGAAGGCCAGAAGATTTGAAGACGGCTCAAGGATTAGTGGTCTTCGACAACATTCCCTAGGATGTGGAGGTTGTCCTGAAAGGAATGGTGTCCTTCCGACAAGTGTATTATACTGAGAGAGGGTTCAAAATTATTACAGAGCTAATTCTTCAGTAAGGTCATGTGACCGGAATGCCTAGGTGGAGGCCGCTTCCGATCAGTAATATTAAGGTATAATTAATATTACAGCTTAATCTTAAATGAACCCTTCGGGTCGAAACCAATCGAACAACCGATCCGAGACGATGAATTAATCCGAAGGATTTAATGATTCGTCGGAGTTTTACGATCACAGACGTCGGATATCGAGCCTAGGGCGTCGAGACCGAGCGTCGCAAAATCACAAGCAACAAGTACGAGCATAGCCGTAGCATCACATTGGCCTAGCCATGTGAAGTGCTAGGTTAAGCTAGCCCATCGCAAGCCTAGGCGCACCATGTGTGTGCTAGGCGCACCATGTGTGTGCTAGGCGCGCCATGCTAGGCGCACTAGGCTGCCCATCACAGCACCATGTGTGTGTGTGCGTGCCTTCGCACGGCACAGCACCACAGCATGCGTGCTTGGATGCCTAGGCGCCATCGCAGGCCACACGCACCAAGCACAGCCCATCACAGTGCTGGGCACTTGCGTATGTGCGTGTGTGTGTGCGCCTCGCACCATCGCAAGCTCTAGCACAAGAATACGCACTATCGCATGGCTAGGCAAGTGCGTTTGTGCGTGTGCGTGTAGGGCATCGCAGCAGCAGCACTAGTCTCGCTCAGTGCGCATGCGTGCAAGCCATCGCAGCATCACAGAACCAAGCTTCGCATGCTTGTGCGTGTGGCTGGCGAGGCGAGGGGCCAGCATGCGTGGCTCGCTAGCAGCACACATGCTGGCTATGCGAGTATGTGCGAGAAGGGGTAGGCAGCAGCACCACGCACTAGCTAGCATGCCTGTGCGTGTGTGTGTGCGATGGCCTGCCCAGCACAAGGCGTGGCTCGCTAGCAGCACGCAAGTGCTGGGAGGGCTGGGTGATGCGTGATGTGCGTGCCAGCTGGGCATG